CTCTTTATTAATTTAGCGTAACCTAATGGCACAGTGCTGATACAGTCTATAGTCGTGTATGCTAACACTCTAGGCTAATCCACCTCAATTTCCTGCAGGATCAATTTCTCATAAGTGCCCTCTTGTTCCTACCATTTCAGCTATTTCTTTCCATGTTTAGATGCTCACATACTTACCATCGCATTGCAACTACCTACAACATTCTGTACAATGCTATGTCATATAGGTTTGCTGTTTGGGAGCAATAGACTCTACCATCTAGCCTAAGTTTGTGTACACACATTCTAGTATGTATGCACAGTGATGAAGCTACTTGACAACACATTTCTCAGAACTCATCCCTATCAGGAAGTGATGCATGGCTATAGTCAGAAGAAGTAAGGGGGACTTTCTGAGATGCCAGTTGTGCTTTGTACGTGCACATGGTCTTCTGAACTCCTCTAATGGCACCCTGAGAATTTGTGCACTACCATGTACGTGAAGCTTACCTGAAGGGAAAAAAAGAAGTTTAAATGCAAATTGAACTCTAGTTAGAAGTGCACACAACAGGGCCTGGCATGATGGCTCAATGGCTAAATCTTCACATTGCATGTTCCAGCATGCTATATGGGCACTGGTTTGTGTCCAAATTTTTCCATTTCCCATTCAGCTTGCTGCCTATGGCCTGGGAAAACAGTAGAAGATGGCCCCAACTCCTTGAGACCCTGTACCCACATGGGAGACCCAAAAGAAGCTCCTGGTTCCTCACTTTGGATGTTGCAGCCAATTGGGGAGTGAACCAGCAAATAGATAATCTTTCTCTCTCTCTCTTTTTCTCTGTAAAATCTACCATTCCAATAAAAATAACATAAATCTTTTAAAATAATGCACAAAACAAAGTATTCCAGCTTGTGTTGAAATGCATAAAAACTGAAACGTGTTAATGGATGGCCAGGGGCTTGACTCACAGAGAGGTAAGCAAACAAGCAGAGGAAAATATTGACTATAACATTGCTTTCCTGTAAAAATAAACATTTTCATGATAAAATGTTACTAAGCATTTTTTGACCTTGAACATCTTTTAAAACTTCTCAGTTTCAATGTTTGCCAAATGGTGGTAATAGCAGGTGCTGTGGAGACTTGTGGAGTTTAAAAAAATATTGCCAGCAAAGAGGCCTTTAATATAGCGGAAGCTCACATACCTTGTGAAGTTGCTTGCTTTCTTTCCCACCCTTTTCTCTGTTTCTTAGTTTCTAAGCCATAATGTGTCGGCTTGGATTGGGTGGCACTTCCTATGCACAGTTATCTGAAATAATACTCAGTGAAACGATTGGGGTTATTAGGAATGAGCTATCTGTCTGTTATCTGCTGATTATGTAGCCCTTCAGTGGAGAAACAGCTTTCAGTGCTGGCTCTTTCTCAGGTTCCAGTGAAGAACCGCAGACCGTGGCAGACAGTGCAGGGGCATAGTAGCCTAACGCTCCACCTGCAGTGCTAGTATCCCATATCGGTGTCCCACTGGCTTCAGTTCACAGCCAGCTCCCTGCTAATAATCTGGGAAAGCGGTGAAGATTGGCCTAAAGCCATGGACTCCCGAAATAATGTGGGAGACCCCAAGGAAACTTGTGGCTCCCAGCTTCAGATCAACCCAGCTGTGGCTGTTTCACTACTCAGTAAGTAAACCAGCAGATAGAAGATCTCTCTGTATCCTCTTTTTGTGACTTTCAGGCAAAATAAATAAATCTTAAAAAAAAGAAAAAAGACAGGCTGTGGTGATACTTTCTCTAAAGAGATTGGCAGAAGGCCTGACATGATGGCTCAGTAGCTAAAGTTCACATCTTGCAAGCACCAGGATCACATATGTCTCAGCTGCTCTGCTTCCTTTTTAGCTCCTTGCTTGTGGCTTGGGAAAGCAGACGAGGATGGCCTATGTCCTTGAGACCCTGCGCCCACTTGGGAGACCTGGAAGAAGTCCCTGGCTCCTGGCTTCAGATTGGCTCAGCTCTGGCCATTGCAGACACATGGGGAGTGATCCAGTGGACAGAAGATCCTTCTCTTTGTGTCTGCTTCTCTCTGTAAATCTGCCTTTTCAATAAAAATACATGAATATTTAAAAAGAGAAAGAGATAGCAAAAAAGGAGTGAAACAGGATAAAGTGTTATAGACCATCCCATGGGTTCTGATGGTAAAAATATAATTATTTGGCTCACTGAGAATTCCATTTGTTAGTCCTCATTTATTTAAGGAACATTTATTGCGTGTCTACAGACATCTTTGATGTTTCTCTAGGAGCTGGGGCTGCAGAAACGAACGATTGTTCAGCCAGACATCAGGGCATATCTTCCAGGAGCTTACATTCCAATAATGCTTCGGCAGGAGTCGCTTGATTAGCTGTAGTGCTGGAAAAGTGCACAATCTTTCCCCATCCATCATCAGGGTCATGGTTAACATTCCTATTACAAAAGAGAGGTTAGTAAAGGAAAAGCAATAAGCATTTAACCAAAGTTTCACATTACATAGGAATCTTCACAAACAAAGACCCAAAGACCGCAGAATACTGTCTACTGCGATGCTTACATTTGATGGAAATGAGCAGCTGTTTAGAAATGTGATTGGACAACAGCATGTGAGCTAATGGTAATAGACAGATGAGGGAAACCCGGCAAGGCCTGTTGGTTCAGATTCTTCTCAGCCTCTCAGTGGAGCCCTCCTTCCTCCTGGGCATAATCTGGATCGCTCTGGAATGAAAGGCTCTAAGGGAGAGAGTGAGCTTTCTGTTTTATGGCTTTGCTCTGGTCTCCTAGAAGGACTGTGATAAAGGATCTACTCCTTACCTGTGTGACAGTTGTCAACAACAGCCTCCCTTCCCATTCTGAAACTTTCCTCGGAGTTAAGATAATGAAGGGAGCATAGGGCAATGGCCCATGTGAGGTCAACAGCAGAGTAGGAACAGAATTAGGTGTAGCAGGAGGCCTTGTGCTCAGTCCCATCGTTTCCTTAGTCCTGGTGATGGGTTTATGCCTATGGAGAGCTGTATAGCTCAGCTACAGAAAGCAGAGAGAGAATCGTTAAGTTGCTTAGTTGAGTCTTGTGGAGTTGGGTTGGCCTTGCCTATTCAAACATTCAGCAAGCACATCCAATTTGCTCGAGACACAGGTTCTGGAATCATTAAACAAAGTAATTACACAAGGATCCAGTGCAAGAACATCCCCCTTCTCTAAACTCATTGATCTTAGTAGAAAGGAGATAGAAGTCAAGAGATGGGGAAGTAGGTGAAATATGTGTCTCACAGGTAAGAACTTCTGTTCCTACTGCCATAACATCCCTGGGAACACATCTAAAGAGTCATCCAATCCATCCCTGCATTGCACATGCATACGGTTGTGAGCCTATCGCCCTCCTTATTTGAAGGTGCGCTATGAGCCATGCTTAGAGGCCTTCAATTTTCCAGTGCTATCAGCAACATCTGGCAGGTGCAAAACCGATAGTAGTGGCATTACTACAGATTTGTGTCCACTTGTCACCTGATTGTCTAAGAGATAAAAAGCATATAGACTTACTCAGTGACAAAATAAATATACAAATAAGTTCATGTAAAGCTTAAATATAATCCAGTGAAAACTGTCAAAAATCAGTCCATTTCTACTGATGGAAACAAATTCTCTTGGCTACCCAAACGAATGGCTAACCATATGTCATGGCATCACCTCAAGGTGGAGGAAGCCAAGAAAATCAGAGAAAGACAATGTCAGGATTCAGGAGTGGGGAGGACATTTCGCCTCCTGAGTTCATCATCTTAGCCCACTTCAGAGCAGTCATGAGACTTGAGGCTAGTTGCAAGCCATCACTTCCTCTTTGTAATATTGGCACCTGCTCACAGGTTTTTCCAAAAAGAATTATTTGAGTTAATGCCCCTTATGTAATTCCTGGCAGGCAACAAATGCTGCATAAAGTTTACTCTTTTTTTTTTTTTACTCCAATATTTTAAAAAATACTCATCATTTCTTTCTATAAAGTTCTAAAATAAATGAAATTGGTTAAATACGCAACTAAACATGAACTATATGCTAGCTCTATAAGCTTTTTCCTATAACTAGTTTCACAAATCAGGTAAAAAAAAATTGCTGCCCCTCACAGTCTGATTTTTTTCAGATTATCTGGTGACACACCTACACAATGGGTCACTCAGCCTGGCCTCCAAACTGGTCCCCTCCTTTTCCCAGGCAAATGTGCAACATGACAGAATGTCCTCTCAGAGAGACCATGATGCGTTAGAAACTGAATATCTTTACTGCGATCCCAGGATGTGAAAAATCTAAAGAGACTTTAGCATTGAGAGTGGCTGTATTCCTGATTCTAGGCTTTGACACACGTGCTAAGCCGAGAGGAAGGCATATTAAGCATCTCTTTACCTAAGCAAAACCAGGTTGAAACAATAAAGAAGTTTGGTGCTTTGTGTAACTCAATTAGTGTCATGACTCTTGCAATGACAGCCTTGCTGAAAAATCTGGCATACTTGACTTTCTGGCATATCTCGGCATCAGTTGTTCCTCTTCGGCTAGAAAAACTGATCCCATCCTGCGAGTGTTCTGCCTCCACTCAGCTCGCATCTTCATCTGCATGCTCTCTTGTGTCTCTCTCCAAAGGAGCAGAAAGGAATACAAGAGCCACCTCTAGCTAAGGACCGAACACACTAGCTGAGACAGCAGTCCCAAGTCTTTCAACCTCTTGCTTGTAACTCTGCCAGGCAAGGCACAAACAGTCCTCGCAGCGGTTCAGCCCGCCCCCTGCCTCGGATTGGCTGCTTGGAATAGCAACAGCCTGTGTCACCGAAGAGGGCAAAGCCTTCGGAAATAGAAACAAAGTTGTTCACAAATCACATTGGCTTTGCCCGAAGTTTTTTTTTTTTTTCCTCCTAGCTCTTCTTTAGCATGCTGCTATGGGCGAAGTGACCATTCCTGTCAATCGGAGAAGGAGCAGAGGTTGGCTGGCGACGGGGAGTCTGTGACTTCTACGTGACCATGGTACCTGTTGAAAACACCGAGGGCCCCACGCTCCTGAAACACAAGGGCAGAGCGGCCCAGACCGAGGGCAGCGCTCGGGCCCGCCGCCGCCGGCATCCTTCTTGTTCTGGAGGTAAAGCGAGGAACGAGGCGTGCTCGCGTCTCCCTGGGGTATGTGCGCGCGTGTGGACGTGCACGCGCGTGCGCGAGTGAGCGCGCTGCTTGCGTGGAGAGGAGACGGGGCTCTGGTGGGATGCAGAGGGACCCAGAGCTGAAAGGCAGTGAACCCTGCAGGCTTCCTGGGACTTGGTGTGCTTCGAAAATGTAAGCTACACTCACAGGAGCAGGTAGAATGGGTGCCCTCATTGTGTTTACATCAATATATGAATCTTAATCATTTGGCAAAGATTGTCAGCAAGAAAATTTCATTTATAAGGGCGCACACACGGACACACACACGGACTGTCGCAAGTGAACCTTAATGTCGCTGGTTTTAAAATCAGTATGTTGAGGAAGTTTCATGAAATTATTAGTTACATAACCAATAAACACAACTTTTTTTAAATTACCAGCATGTTTGTAACTTGAGCATGACGTGAGGCCCGCATGACTCCTTCCCTTATTCCGGCTTTCTTTAATGAGTCCCTTTGAATTAAGGCTCCTTTCAAGCTTTTTCCTTCTGGAGGTGGAATTTGGAAAGGCATTCATTCATTTCAGTTACCTCTGCTAACCCAAATGCGTGCCTTTGCGTCCGCACTTACACTTCCCCGACACACCGAACTGTTTCTGCTGCCTCTTGCTACTCATTGAGTCTGTTCTCCAAACTGAACACACCTCTCCTCTGCTTCACTCAGCCCTGCCCTTAGGCGTAAATCACGTTTCCGTGCTACATGTTGAAATTCTGTGAACAATCTCACACACTTCTCTTTATTTAAGAGCATTCGCCCTTTCGCCTTGCAATGGATCTACACAAGGGGACTTCCAAAGGCTTGTGGGAAAAGCAAAACATACAGAAATTTGCCCTAGTGCAAAATCCTTGTGCCATCTGTGCAAAGTTTGTGCATAATGACATTTCCTGTGAACTCTTGGAAGAAGCGGTGTGTTGATAGTGGCACTGTGAGTTTGTCTGATGTTTTCAGCCCTCATGAAAGTGGGCAGCCCCTGAGTATGAGATGGAGATACCCACAGTCTTCCCGGTATCTCTCCATGCTCAGCCTCCTCTCGCCTTCCCGACTGTAGTCAAGAATGAGTCTCTGAAGTCACCTTTTCCATGGCCTAGTCCTCTCTGAAGTGAGTTGCCCCTTTCCCTAACAGATGGCTTGCTGGTTGGCTCACGGGTTTCCTAAGAGCAAGCCAAGGAGATTTGTCAGGGGGAGACTTTTGTGAGGGGTCCAAGGGGAAAAGTTACAGAGTTCTCTTATCCAAGTTCCTGAGAAACTGGTCGGTGGTGCAGGTGGCAGAGCACACTGAAGCAGTGACCTCATCCAAGTAAGTGGAAATCAATGATAATGTCACAAAGATGAAAAGAAACAGTTTAGGGAGACCCTTGTAGTGACCATTAGAAATCATTACTTAATTTTGATACGGTTTCAAAGGCTCTTAATAGCTTACATAGTGTACACGTTCACAATTGTTCTCGAGGAAGTTAATACGCATAGGGTGCATGGCCAGAATTCAACTTGAAGTTCAATTATTTACATGTTGCCATAGTGAAGTAGTGCACGAAGAAATGACATACATCAATGACACACTCAATTCCAAGTGCACATGTATTATGTAGAAGAGGAAGCCTGAATGTTTCTCTAAAATCTCAGCTAAACACAACTTTGTGCTCTTCTAAGTTTGCACTCTGATAAATACAGGCCTTTCCTTCTTACTTCTACAAATTGTCCCAGTTTGTCTGGAACCTCTCATGGCGCTCCAGAGCAGTCAGACACACAGAGGTATGAGTGCATAGTGCAGTACAGCCATGTGGTTTTAACAACTCATTTCACACTTCCACTCCTTATCATTAGGTTTGAGTTTTTTTTTTTATTGTTAATAACATTGTATTATGTGATACAGTTTTATAGGTATTGGGATTCCCCCCACCCCTCCCATAACCCTCTTGATATTTGTCAAATACTCCTTTGGCTCCTTATGTTTTGAATTTCTATACTTTCCTTTGTTTAGGACATTTGGAGTATTTAAAACATGCTCCATGAGTTTATTTTTGCGTATAAAGGCAGCATATTTTCCTTCATTTCTTCATGGAAAAATCAGAGCACAAAGAGGAATAAGTTATGTAACCCAAGACAAGGTAATTAAGTCATGTGAGCTACTGAAAAATGCAACAAAACAAAAGTCCCTGAGCTCTGTGATTGAACCCCGGGATGCTGTCATGCACAATGAAAAATTTTGGCAGGTCTTCCTAGGCTGACCTCTCTGCAACCGAAAAGAATGCTTTATTTCATTGACTAGAAGCTAATGAACACCACTCATTTCAAGAAGCTGTGACTCACAATGATATACTTTTAGTAAATTGTTCAGTGTTCATGGACATGATCTAATCCACCTTACAAGGCAGAGTTGAGCTCAGTTTGAAATCCTGGTGCCTAGACACACAAATGATACAGGTGACGTGAGAAACTAGACAGCCAAAACATCTCAGACAAGGGGAGCTTGAGGCCCGGCGCTTTGTGGTTGGCCCAAGTGTATGCAGAAGCTGGTGCAGAGCTGACCCTACTGGCCTCTGAGCCGGAGCCTGATGCCTGCTCCTTCATCCCTTTGTTCATGATACAAGTAAGTGGCTGAGTGTCCCCTTACGTTTCCCTTTACTCCCCACCAGCTCTGTCTCATCCTCTAGCTTCTTCTCAGAAAATCAGAGATCAAAAGTGATAGTTACTCCATAAATAGCAGGTACCCAGGACTGCAGACAAGGCACTGGAAGCAGAGCATGGAGACCTGGACTCACTGACTCCTCTGACGGGGCCACACGTCATCCTGCATGAGAGAAATTTAAGAATTACTCAGATCTCTCCTCAGAGCAACACCCTAAGATTCTGAACATACTTTTCACATCTGAAAGCTGAGCAGGTAGTCAGCACGCAAGCCATAATGGTACACAAGCTCCTATTAAGGGTTCCCTCGGGTTTAGCCCTTTGGTATCAATCAGGCCAGGATTGCTTGGCTGTCCTGTGCAACCCAAAGCGAAGAAAGCAGCTTGAAGCCAAACAGAGGCAACTTCTGCAAAGGGAAAGGCCCACTAGGGCAACCTGAGGTTAGATGGGATCCTGCTCACTCACAGTGCGGCTGGGCCTCTCAATCTGTAGAAATCTGGGGACATCGCCACTTTTCCAGGCTTCCTAGATACCAGAAGTTCAAATGCCAAAACTTTGACCAAAAAATATTGTGCTTTAAGGCCACATGTTTCTAGCAAATTAATGGTTGATAATAATAACAAAATTATTGTACATCTTTCAAGATACTCAGTAAAATGACAGGATTTATGGACTCGTGGATTTATGAACACATGGATTTATTGGAGACAAGAGCGTCTTTTGGCTGGTCATGGGACCACTTTTATTTTATTTTATTATTTTATTTTATTTTTATGATACAGTTCTTATGGGAGCTCACTTAAAGCTGATCACGTCCCCTTCTAGTCCGGTCGGCATTGTTGTGGGACTGCACGCTTAGCCTCTCTTGTTGATTATGGCAAATGTCTAAGTGTTAGGCTCTGCCCTGAGTGTGAGGTGCAGGCAAATGGCTCCTCTGGCTCTCCTTGGGAGGGGGAAGGCCTACAACAAACATGGCAGGAGCTGTTTCCCTGCCAACTCTGCACACACGTAGAGGTTACCACACCCAGAAAGGGCAGAGAGTGCCACTTGGCTGCAGACCCCCTCCAGGCTGCCACAGCACTGGCAAGATGTGATGAGCCAGCCTCATAGCAGACACCCAGGCACTGGGGAGACCTGGGCGGGCTGGAACTAACCGCACTCACCTGCATGCCTGAACTGGTTTTGGCAGTCTGTGTCCCTTCTGATAGTCGGCGCCCGTGTCAAGGCTGTTAACTCTTCTCCACTTCATCCCCGCGGTCTGCCACTGTGCCACAGTTTTTGAGGCCTCTGCGATCCCAGGAGCAAGCCCCTCATGTGAAGTCTTGAGGGTTGTTCCGGTGAGTAATCCTCAAAGGAGTGATTATTCACATGCCTTGATCCTAGACTGGCTAGGGGAACGCTCAGAATGAAATGAGCCCTCTCCAAGACAGCTCAAGGAAATGCAAATGCAGATATGTGTATGAAAGACAGATTGGTCAGTTTCAAAATCCTCATTTTAATTGTTGTAGCTGTGTGAGATCGTCTTTCCCTTTAGGTTCCTTCTGAGGGAAGCTCTTGGCCTAGCAGTTAGGACCCCAATAAGGTGCTCATGTCCCACATCAGAGAACATGAGTTCCACCTCCAGCTCCTGATCCTGGGATGACACCAAGAATTGTGTCCTTGTCACCGGGTGGGAGACCTGCGTTGGGTTCCTGGCCTCCAGCTTTGCTCCCATCCCCGTGCAGGCTGTCACAGTCATTTAGGACATGAATCAGTTGAAGGGTGAGCTCTCTGTCTGCCCCTCAAATAAATACAACTTTGGAAGGAGGAATAGTTGTTAATTCAAGGTTTCGGAGGCAGCAATTTTTTTTTCCTAAGGGGGGCAAACATTGGGCATTTGGACCCAACCCACATTCAGCCTCCTTCCCCACCCCCCCCCTTTTTTTTTCTTTTTAAAGATTTATTTCTTTTTACTTGGAAAAGAATGTTTACACAGAGAAGGAGAGACAAAGATCTTGCCTCTTCTGGTACACGCCCCAAGTGGCAGCAATGGCTAGAGCTGAGCTGATTCAAAGCTAGGAGCCAGGAGTTTCTTCTGGATCTTCCATGCAGGTGCAGGATCCCAAGGCTTTGGGCCACCCTCTACTGCTTTCCCAGGCAGCAAGCAGGGAGCTGGCCTAGCAGTCAAGATGCCCATTCAGATGCTCGTGTCCCACATCAGAGAAGATGAGGTTTGAATCCCACCTCCAGCTCTCCGGGAAGAGGAGAAACTAAGACATGAACCGGCATCCATATGGGATCCTGGAGCTTGCAAGGTAAAGATTTAGTTATTGAG